TCAAACCAAAAAAACCGCCTGAAGGCTGAAAGACTGGACTGCTGGTCCCAGATGAAACCCATGACCCAGAGTGAGAACTTCTGTTCCTGTTTGCCCACCCTTCCCCTATTCTGAGCACATAAAAGCCCTGGATTCAGCCACACTGTGGGGGCTTTCCTGCCTTTGGGTAGGGGAACCACCCCCACATTCCCTGTCTGTGGAAAGCTGTTTCATCACTCAATAAAACCCGGGAGGCGGAGCTTGCAGTGAGCCGAGATCTGGCCACTGCACCCCAGCCTGGGCGACAGAGCGAGACTCCGCCTCAAAAAAAAAAAAAAAAAAAAAAAAAAAAAACTCCCCATCTTGCTCACTCTTCAATTGTCAGCGTATCCTCATTCTTCTTGGATGCTGGACAAGAGCTCGGGATCCACCAAGCGTGGGTACCCAGAAAGGCCGTCACACTAGCCTTTTGCCTTCACCAATGGAAGGCAGCTGCCCCACGCAATGTGGCCAGGGGCCAGCTGAGCTGTGAACATGCCACCGTCCATTGGGCTGTCGATGGTGGAACTAAAACAGCTAATTAGCACACCAACGCCCCCTCTGGAGCTTCAGGGTCATGGGTACCCCTGCCTGGGTGCTGCCATGTTCCACTCGAGGCAACACGCCTGGTCTGGCCACAGGCCCTGCATGGAGCTTGCTCCTGTGTTGCGTTTGGAGTGGTCAGCCAGACCCCGCACTTGCTCGTTCATCTGCTTCCTCCCGCAAGGGGCTGAGTGTGGCAGACTGAGTATACGGGGCGCTCCTGCTACAAGTGTGGCAAAGGGGCTGAGAGAAAATTCTTGTCACTGTGGTTTGCTGGCCTTGTGACTCAGCTTACCTCATTCCCACAGGGAAGTGGGCAGCACAGCTTCCAACCTGGATTCAGAACCCAGACCTACAACTCTGGCTATGACTCCATGCTCACAGGTCTCAGTTTCCCAATCTGTGATCTGGGGATGCTTAATACCTCCTCTAGGGAGTTGTGAGGTTTACAGAATGTGAGCCAAGTCTATCTGTGAAGACTCTTTTTTTTTTTTTTGAAACAGAGTCTCTCTGTCACCCAGGCTGGAGTGCAGTGGTGTCATCTCGGCTCACTGCAAGCTCTGCCTCCTGGGTTCATGCCATTCTCCTGCCTCAGCCTCCCGAGTAGCTGGGACTACAGGTGCCCACCACCACGCCTGGCTAATTTTTTGTATTTTTAGTAGAGATTGGGTTTTACCATGTTAGCCAGGATGGTCTTGATCTCCTGACCTGGTTATCTGTCCGCCTCGGCCTCCCAAAGTGCTGGGATTTACAGGCGTGAGCCACCGTGCCCGGCCCCTGTGAAGACTCTTTAACCAGGAGCAACCAGTTTCATAAATGGATGAGTCTAGAAATGCCTCTTATTCTACCCCAGTCCCTAAAGCTCCCAGTTAGGAAGGCACAGGGTGGCTTCATTTGTGATCCTCTGGTGGGTTAGGAATTGTGTCTCAGGGCCCTGGGAGTTTAGGGGTGAAGACACAAGTGAGAATGAATTGGCCCCAGTGACCTGGTGTCAGGCCAGGTGAGAGGCCCGGGTGACCTCTGGGCAGGGACATGGCCGACAGACTTCATGGACAGCAGCACCTGGTGAAGCTCAGATTTTGTTTTTTTGTGCAAGAATTCCCCCATGTTATCAAAGGCTCAGTCAAGTCTCAAAATACATGCAGCCCAGTGTAAGCCACACTGTGGTGGCAGGGATGGGTCTGGGGCCTAGCTTCATTGGCCATTGAGACACAGTGGTAGAGTGCTCAGAACAGGCAGCTGCTGATGCTGAATGGGGAAGCCAGAGTGCCTCTCAAGCCAGGGAATTTTTAGATGCCCAGAAAGAAGTCTAGTCTGTCTGCAGGAAGGAGCTGCTCAAACGACCATTAGTGGAAACTGGGTGATATGGTTTAGCTGTGTCCCCACCACAATCTCATCTTGAATTGTACTCTCATAAATCCCATGTGTTGTGGGAGGGACCCAGTGGGAGATAATTGAATCATGGGGGCGGTTTCCCCCATACTGTTCTCAGGGTAGTGAATACGTCTCCTGAGAGCTGATGGTTTTATAAGGGGAAATCCCTTTCACTTGGTTCTCATTCTCTCTTGCCTGCCACCATGGAAGACGTGCCTTTTGCCTTCTGCCATGATTGTGAGGCCTCCCCAGCCATGTGAAATGGAGTCCATTAAACCTCTTTTTCTTTATAAATGACCCAATCTTGGGTATGCCTTTATCAGCAGTGTGAAAACGGACTAATACACTGGGTTACACTTGGGAAGCACTTGGCACTTGATAAATGGCAGCCAACAACATAATAACTAGAAACCAGAGATTTTGTTCTCAGGGTCCCCTGACATTGCAAAGGTTTTTACTGGCTGAAGTCGGCTTGTGCTTGTAGTTACAGCTTATTTCTGCCCACTGCCAACCCCTCTTTGCCCTTCCCACTGTGAGAAATAGTCTCCCACTATTTCTCATATCTACCTGGGCTAGGGCTACAACTACTGGCTTCAGACCTGGGTTTGAGTCCTGCTTTGCCGTGTTTCAGTGGTGTGACCCTGGAACGTCTGTAAGCCTCAGTGACCTTGTCTGCACAATGGGGACAGTAATGTCTGTAAAAGGCTTAGGGCAGGCTGGGTGCGGTGGCTCATGCCTGTAATCCCAGCACTTTGGGAGGCCAAAGTGGGCAGATCACCTGAGGTCAGGAGTTCGAGAACAGCCTGACTAACATGACGAAACCTCATCTCTATTAAAAATACAAAAAAAAAAAAACCCAACCAACCAAACAAAAAAAATTAGCTGGGCGTGGTGGGGGGGGGGGGCACCTGTAATCCCAGCTATTAGAGAGGCTGAGGCAGGAGAATCGCTTAAACCTGAGAGGCAGAGGCTGCAGTGAGCCAAGATCACGCCATTGCACTCCAGCCTGGGAGACAAGAGTGAAACTCCATCTCAAAAATATAAATAAATAAATAAAAGGCTTAGAGCAGAGCTGGGCATAGAGTGAGTGTCCACACGGGAAGCTATTAACTCCCTAGGATAGCATGTGGCAGGTGAACGAGGTTCTTTCAAGTCTAAAAAAACTCAAGCTGTCTGGGCGCAGTGGCTCACGCCTGTAATCCCAGCACTCTGGGAGGCCAAGGTAGGTTGATTGCTTGAGCTCAGGAGTTCAAAACCAGCCGGGACAACATGGTGAGATCTCGTTTCTACCAAAGATACAAAAAAATAAGCTAGGTGTGGTGGTGTACACCTGTGGTCCCAGCTACTCAGGAGGCTGGGGCAGGAGGATCACCTGAGCCTGGGAGGCAGAGGTTGCAGTGAGCTGTGATTGCACCACTGCACTCCAGCCTGGGCAACAGAGCAAGACCCCATCTCAAAAAAAAAAAAAAAAAAAAGGCTGAATGTGGTGACTCACGCCTGTCATCTCAGCACTTTGGGAAGCTGATGTAGGCAGATCACCTGAGGTCAGGAGTTCCAGACCAGCCTGACTAACATGGTGAAACCCCGTTTCTACTAAAAATACAAAAATTAGCCAGGTGTACTGGCGGGCACCTGTAATCCAAGCTACTAGGGAGGCTGAGGCAGGAGAATCACTTGAACCCAGAAGGCAGAGGTTGCAGTGAGCCAAAATCATGCCATTGCACTCCAGGCTCGGTGACAGAGTGAGGCTCTGTCTCAAAAAAAAAAAAAAAAAAAAAGAAAAAAAAAAAAAAGGAAAAGAAAAGAGGCCAGGTGCAGTGATTCACACTTATAATCCCAGTACTTTGAGAGGCTGAGGCGAGTGGATCACCTGTGGTCAGGAGTTCAAGACCAGCCTGGCCAACATGGTGAAACCCTGTCTCTACTGACAATACAAAAATTAGCCAGGTGTGGTGATGCGTGCCTGTATTCCCGGCTACTAGAGAGGCTGAGGTGGGAGGATTGCTCGAGCCCAGAAGGCGGAGGTTGCAGTGAGCCAAGATCAAGCCACTGCACTCCTGCCTGGGCAACAGAGTGAGACCTCATCTCAAAAAAAAAAAAAAAAAAAAAGAAAGAAAGAAAAAAAAAGAAAAGAAGTTCAAGTTGGGCTTGAGTGGCTGCCCAGTAGGTGCCCTCTCACCCCATTCCCTGTAAGAATTCTTTCTGACGATCTGCCCCTGCACCCCAGCCTAGTTTTAGCTGCATGGGAACCCTCAGGGAGTATGTTTAAAATGTAGACTCATGGCTCTGCCCCTAGAGGTGATGTAGAAGTTTTGGGCAGTGGGGCCCTGGGCTCTGCATTTTAAAGACATTCCCCAGATGTCCTGCTCTGCATCCATCCTTCCACAGCCTGGCAGGCAGGTGCTTCTGCTTTTGGTCTAGCCTAAAGCCCTCTACCTGTGTCCTCTGCTTGCTCCAGCTGCTTCTCGCAGAACATACAGTCCTGACTAGTGAGCTGAGATGGGGCTGTTGGGGAGCCCTGGGTGGGCGGGGGGTACTCAGGAGTGGGGAACAGCAGTAATACAGGAGCAAGAGTGAGGGTTCTGGAGATTCAAATCCAATCCTGGTCCTGTTAATTGCTAGTTGTATATCTGTGTGTGTTTTTGCTTTTTAGAGACAGGGTTGTGCTCTGACGCCCAGGTTGCAATACAATGGCACAATCATGGCTCACTGCAGCCTCGATCTCCTAGGCTCAAGTGATCCTCCCACCTCAGCCTCCTGAGAAGCTGGGACTACAGGCACACACCACCATGCCCAGCTAATTTAAAAAATTTTTATAGAAATGGGGTTTTGATATGTTGCCCAGGCTGGTCTCGAATTCGCAGGCTCAAGGGATCTGCCCTCCTGGGCTTCCCAAAGTGCCGGGATTACAGGCATGAGCCACTGTACCTGGCTCCAGATAAATTCTTATGATCTCTCTCCTGTGGCATGGAACAGGTTGAGGCCACTGTCTTCAGGGGACAGGGGTGGCTGGCTGGAGTACCTAAGCAAATGCAAAGCCCCAGGAGGGACAGGCCAACACTCACCACAGAGGTCAAGTCCACATTCTCCACCCTCCTGTCCTTCAGCAGCACGGGCTGTAGGCCGGCGACACGGAGCTGCACCGAGGACGTGCGGTACACGAAACTCAGCAGCCAGTCTCCTCTGTGGGAGGGCAGAGAAGCATGTGAACGTTAGCACCAGCCTTGGACAGCCCGAGGACAGGACGGGCCAGGCTGCCTCCTGGGAAGCAGAGTGGGACTGGAGCTTCTGCGGAAAAACAGGATCCCTGATGGCACGGTGGAGATGGAAGATGAAGCAGCCACAGCTGATGCTTTTGGAGCCTGGCCTGGGTGCCAGGCATGGTGCGCAGGGCTATGTACAAGCACCAGGTAGCTCTATGAAGGCTGCTGCTTTGTTTCCAGCTGGGTCTCCAGAGCTAAGAACAGTGCCCGGCATGCAATAGAGGAATATCTGCTGAATGAATGAGGAATCTGGATAAAGTTCTCAAAAAGTCAGCATGTGGCTCAGGAGAGCTATTCCCAGCTCGGGAAAGGTGGCTTGTCCAGGGCTCCCTGGAAAAAGAAAGGCAAAGAAGGTCTGCCTGTGAGGAGGGGAGGAGCTCTGGGGTCTAGGTGAGCTGGAGGGACCAGCTTGGCCTTCCCAGGACAGGCTCAGCCCAGGCTGCAGGTTCTCCCTGCCCTCAGGCAGCAGAAGAGGCGAGGGTGGTTGTCTAGGCAGTCACGGCTCCGGGAACATTCCTTTATTTTCAGGGGTGCTGTGACCCTACTCTGTGAACCCACACCCAGCCAAACACTGCCCCTACACTATCCAGAAGAAATGACCTTGGACCCTCTGCTGCCCGTTGCTTCAGGTGCAATGAGTACTGTCTACAGAGGACACAGTCTGAGGGACCCCTGAGGCAGCCTTCCCTCGCAAACCCCTGAACTGTCTTGGGATGCAGCTGGGCCATCACAGAGCCATGCCCTGGGGCCTTGCCACCCAGCAAGTCTGTGCACAGGCAAGCTTCTGTTCTCCCCTCTGCACCCCAGACTCGGATCCAACTCTGCCCATCCTGCTGTCTTCTGTGTGGACTAATTCTGACTCTGGTTTGCATGGCGTTATTTTTGCACACTTGTTCATCTTAAAGAAGGCCCCCCCTCACTGCAGGGGGTAAGAATGGCTGAGAGATAGGAGGCCGGGGCTGGAGTCCTGGCGGCCCTGTCTATGTGCCCTGCTGTGTGACCACAGGCAAGTCCCCCACCTGTCCGGGACACAGGGTGTGGTGGTGCTCTCTGGGTTCCTCCAAGTTCTGACCCTCTGTGGTCTCTGAGCACGTGGGTTTGTGAGTGGGTAGCACTCTGAAGACCCCCAGGAGGACTGAGTCCCTGAGCTGAGGGGTCCTCTACAGACTCTCCTGCTGTGTCCCGAAGGGAGCTCATCCATCCCTAACTCCTTCCCCACTGTCATCTGCCCAGTCCTTCAAGTAGAAACCAATGTCTTGGGTGCCTCTTCCTTATGACCAACATATCAGAGTCCTCCCAATTCTTCCTCCCCTCTCCCCTCCAATACCTGTCCCTTGTGGTCCAGCCCTGAGAGTAGGCAATCCTCCCTCCCCGCCCCACGGATGAATGCAACAGCCTCCTCACCCCACTCCCTGCTCCTGGCCTCACCTACCTTGAGCCACTGGAGTCTTCCTAAAACACCCATCTGACCACTGTGCTCCCTCAGAAGCAGACCATGGCTCTCCATTGCCTCTGGGCTTTCTCATCTAGAAAATTCCTTCAGTCTCTCCAGAGAGCAATGCTTTCAGGTCCTGATGATTATCTTAATATTGAGGGCCCAAGAAGCACTGTCTAAGAATGGATGGTTGCAGGGGGCAGTGGCTCACACCTGTAATCCCAGCACTTTGGGAGGTTGACGTGGGAGGATTGCTTGGGCCCAGGCATTTGAGACCAGCCTAGGCAACATAGGGAGACCCCATCTCTACAAAACACACAAAAATTTGCTGGGTGTGGTGGTGTGTGCCTATGGTCCCAGCTACTTGGGAGGCTGAGGCAGGAGGATCATCTAAGCCTAAGGCAGTTGAGGCTGCAGTAAGCCCTGGTTGTGCCACTGCACTTCAGCCTGGGCAACAGAGTGAGACCTTGTCTCGAAAAACAAACAAACAAACAAACAAATAAACGAAAAAGGATGGCTAGAGGGAGAAAAGGGAGATCCATTCAAACTGTTTTATTGAACTATTCATCAGAATCCAGTGCATCAAATACTGGATGTGAGGATGGTCGGAAAATGTTTCCAATACTGCTGGGTGTAAATGAGCAAAGACAACATCATTCCTCCAAAATTATTTCTGTTTTACGACAGATTATTTCTGTTTTAATTACAACAACATTGTAGTTAACATGTGAATTACATGTATTTACACACATGTAGGGGCAGAGCAGGAACGCAGATTAGAAGGTTCTGTACCCTCTCGCTGTGCTGAGCAAACCATGGGCCTTCACTGGCATTCAAGACCTTCTCCACCCAGCTCTGGACCACGCAGAGCCAGGTTCAATTCCTGCCTTGTCAGTTATGAGCTGTGTGACCTTGGACAGGTTGCTTGACCTTTCTGAGCCTCAGCCTCCTCAGGGTATCTTAGCTCCCAGCATTGGTGGGAGCATTCACTGAAGCAGGACATGTACACACAGGTGCTCAGGGAGCCTCAGTCATGACTATTAGTGCCTGTGCTGGACCTGTGTGTGCTGTGCCGCCTCTCTCCGGCTCAGTCTATGCTTCCAGTCTCTGATGGGTCCCTATATCCATCCTTTCAAAATTCACCTTGGACATCCCCTCCTCTAGGGAGTGTCCCTGGGCCTCTCCACCCACTACTATATATATATATATATGTTTTGAGACAGGGTCTTAACTCTTGTTGCCCAGGCTGGAGTACAGTGGCACGATCTTGGCTCACTGCAGCCTCTGCCTCCTAGGGTCAAGCCATCCTCCCACCTCAGCCTCCCAAGTAGCTGGGACTACAGGAGCCACCGTGCATGGTTAACTTTTGTATTTTTTTATTTTTATTTTTTTTTGAGACATAGTCTTGATCTGTTGCCCAGGCTGGAGTGCAGTCGCATGATCTTGGCTCACTGCAACCTCTGCCTCCAGGGTCAAGCCATCCTCCTACCTCAGCTTCCCAAGTAGCTGGGACTACAGGTGTGCACCACCATGCCTGGCTAATTTTTGTATTTTTTTGTAGAGACAGGTTTTGCCATGTTTTCAGGCTGGTCTTGAACTCCTTCCTGGGCTCAAGCGATCCTTCTGCCTCGGCCTCCCAAAGTGCGGGAATTATAGGTGCGAGCCACTGCGCCCATCCTCCATCTGAAACGATTAATCATTCACCCCTTGTGTGCCTGGTACTTGTTCCTTTTATGATGTTTGCCACACATCCTCCTGTGTTTCCCCTTTTCTAGAAAAGCAGAGAGCTCCCTGAGGGCAGGCCTGTGCCTTAGTCATCCCTGTATCCTGAGCTGAACTGGGAACTCACTGCCACCCTCCAGGCAATGCTGATCTGCAAACCCCAGGCTGCACAACCGCCACCTGCTGAAGGCAGACATGGCTCACTCACCAGGCCTCGAGCCATCTGTGGGCAGCGGTCCTCCTTGCTCCTTCTTCTGTCATCCCCTCCTCAGGAGTGGCCTCTTGTCCCTGGGCTACAAGGAGCCCTCCTGAGGACTCAGAATGCAGCCATCTCACGAGGGGATGAGACAGACCTGAGCTCATATTCTGGGTCTGCCTGTGAGACCCTGGGCAAGTCACTTGCCCCTCTTAGAACTTCACTTCCTCAGGGATGTGACAGGCGGCAGTGCTATCACCCCAGCTAGCTTCCAGGAGGTTCGTGAATAGCCCAGGTAAGGGAGTGGATTTACAAAGAGCTTTATTAATGTAAATTACACATGAGTAAACTTGTGTAGTTAGGTAGTGTTGGCCTGAATCGCCTTCCCTCTCATCCTCCATGTTTAAGTTCACAGCAACTAAAAGGCCTTTGGAGACCAAGAATCTGAACTCCTGGCTGATGCTTAATTTAACCAAGGAACTACAGTTGTTTTGATCTACACTCTCTCTCTCCTTCCCTCCTTCCCTTTCTTCTTCCTTCTCCTCCTCCTCCTCCTTTCTCTCCATAAAGAGATGGCCCAGGGTCTCACAAAATAATTGAAAACCAAGTGTACGCGCCTCAGGTTCTCAACAGAACAGATGGGTTTAATAAGATTCTGCTGCGTTCCCCCTGCACATATGCAATTTTAATTCTTTTGCTTTGCTGTTTATAAAAAATACTAAAAAATCATGTGCTATGTGAGTATGCCAAGTAATAAACATTGTAACTGTTATCATTTATTGGGCACCTACTAAGTGCCAGTTCTTCTGCTTTATAACGTCATTTAATCTTCCCAGAACCTCTACACAGGAGGGACTATTATTCCTATTTTATAGGTGGGGATGCTGAATTTAGGGAAGTTGTTTGTCTAAACCCACTCAAACGGTAAACAGCAGAGGCAAGATTTTAACCTAGGACTGCCTCACATCAAAGTCTTTGTCCATTCCTTATCTTTTTCTTATTTTTTTATATATATACTTTGAGATGGAGTCTCGCTCTTGTGGCCCAGGCTGGAGTACAGTGGTGCGATCTCGGCTCACTGCAACCTCCGCCTCCCAGGTTCAAGCGATTGTCCTGCCTCAGCCTCCCACCACGCAGCCTGGCCCGAGGTTGGTGCTCACTGAATTCACTGAATGAATATCCCAAGTGATTGATGATGATGAATGAAAAAAATGGTGACATTACCTGTCATTCACAAAGCATGTATGTACCATGCACACACACACACACGTGAACATGGACAATTGTGCACATGTGTAGGTACATACATGTAAACACGCACACATGTACAGCTCTGTAAATCCTTCAAGCATCCTCACAACTCTGAGGGCAGTTGCTACCAGTATCCCTCTTTTACTGATGAAGAAATGAAGGCGGGCGTTAGAACCCAGGCCTAGGTGCTTCCGAATCATGAGCCTTAAACGTTGCTGCTCTGAAAACACCTTTGCTTCATCCAGAGGCTGGATGGACAGGGCTTCTTCTCAGGCCAATCTTAGAGGGCTCAGTTTTGGGTTTCATCCTCCCTCCTGCCCCAAAGTCTGAGTCACAGCTTTGGCTGAAACCCCGCAGGTCTTCCTTCTCAAACCCCAAACAAGGGTTGCTTCCTTTCTAGCCCTGTGGCCGCCAGCCTTCACGGGCCCCCTCCTCTGGCTGGAGGGTCTGTCACCCTGTTTGGGTACAGGCTCCTGCATGCCGTCAGCCTCCTGTTCTAGCACCCTGCCCTTCCTCCATGGCAGCACTCAGAAAGCTCAGCCTAGGCCCCTCCAGTCCCTCCTTCCACCGCCAAAGACTAACATAGACGTCTCTTAGACGTCGTTCAAAGACCTCCCTGTGGCCCAATCTTTGTTTTTCAGTCCGTGTCCCACTCGCCCATGTCCCTTCCCCCAGCTCCAACCAGGCCAAGCTGCCCCAGCCTCTCCTGTCATCCTGCTGCTCTCAGGCCTGATACACAAACATCTTCTCAGAATGCCCCCTGCTGTCCATCATCCCACTGGGGGGATGCTTCCCAGATCAGATCACCAGGCCAGGGCCTGCTCCTAACAGGGCCGGTGCCTGGCCAGTTCTTGGGATCTTCCAGGACAGGGATTAGGTCTCGAATATGTGTCCCCAACACAGAGCGTGGGCATGCTAAGTGCTCAGTAAGCATTGCTACTTCCCCGCTGGCACGAGGTTTGGACAGACCTGCAGTAGCCGTTGATGATCCTCCCGGACACCACCTTCCGGAAAGGCTCCCAGTGCTTCGCTTCTCCCTCCACAGGTGCACCTAGCAGGACTACATCCTCGATGATCCCTTGGCAATCTGGCAAAAGACCCCAGAAAAGGCTGTCAGTGTCCCTGGTCACAGTGGGTGCTGGGAGGGACTCTCCAACAGCAGTGGAGGAGACAAATGTCACACACATACACATGCACACACGTGAATCATGTGCATATGTGAATGTACACACATGCAAACATGCAAACACATGCATAGATAGGCATGGAGGCTTCTACCGAGCTCCAGAACCTGAGTCAAGCCTCTTATATGCTTAATCTATTCCTTCAAAGGATCATTACCCCATTTTATTTATTTATTTATTTATTTATTTATTTATTTATCTATATTTATATATTTTGAGATGGAGTCTCACTTTGTTGCCTAGGCTGGAGTGCAGTGGCACGATCTCAGCTCACTGCAACCTCTGCCTCCTGGGTTCAAGCGATTCTCCTGCCTCAGCCTCCCGAGTAGCTGGGACTACAGGCACATGCCACCACGCCCAGACACTTTTTTGTATTTTTAGTAGAGATGGGGTTTCACCAGGTTGGCCAGGCTGGTCTCAAACTCCTCACCTCAGGTGATCCACCTGCCTTGGCCTCCCAAAGTACTGGGATTACAGGCGAGAGCCACCGTGCCCAGCTGCATTATCCCCATTTTAGAGTTAAGGAAAACCAAAGGTATCTGCAAGATCACATGGCTAATAAGTTCCAACACAGCCTGAGTTGGAACCCAGGTCTCTCTCCACCACCTACGAAGTTCACACCAGCTGTGGACTATGGATGGATGTCTTCCTTTAGAAGAGACTAATGGGCCCTGCACCGTCTTGCATGCCAGGTGGGAGACACCAATATCTTTCTCTGCAAAAGGTTCCCTGGGATCTGTGCAGACTGGTGGGAAGAGGGGAGTGAAGAGGAGACGGGGCGAGTAGGTCCTGGCATCAGGGAGTGCACTTGTCAGCTGCATTGATCTAATGATTCAGGAAATATTTCAGGTCAGGGCTATTCAAAGTGCAATCTGGGCTAGGGGCGGCGGCTCACCTAGCGTTGATAATCCCAGCATTTTGGGAAGCTGAGGCAGAAGGATCGCTTCAGCCCAGGAGTTCAAGACCAGCCTGGGCAACAAAGTGACACCTTGTCTTTACAAACAAACAAACAAACAAACAAACAAACAAAGAGCCAGGGCCTGGTGCAGTGGCTTATGCCTGTAATCCCAGCATTTTGGGAAGCCAAGGTGGGTGGATCACTTAAGGCCAGGATTTAGAGACTAGCCTTGCCAGCATGGCAAAAAACCGTCTCTACTAAAAATACAAAAATTAGCTGGGTGTGGTGGCAGAAGCCTGTAATCCCAGCTATTTGGGAGGCTGAGGCATGAAAATCGCCTGAGCCTGGGAGGCAGAGGTTGCAGTGAGCTGAGATTGGGCAACTGCACTCAGCCTGGGCCACAGATTGAGACTCTGTCTCTAAATAAATAAATTAATTAAAAATTAGCTGGATGTGGTGGCACACACCTGTAGTCCCAGCTACCTGGGAGGCTGAGGCAGGTAGATTGCTTGAGCTCAGGAGTTTGAGATCATAGTCAGCTATGACCACACCACTGCACACTAGCCTGGGTGATGGAGCCAGACCTTGTCTCAAAACAAACAAGTAAACAAACACCAAAGTGCAATCCAATTGTTCTGTAAGTACAGAAATAGAGAAGCAACACGGCTTTTTAAATCTTGCTGCAGATTGGAAACCAGTAGTTCCCAGATGGGTATGTGGACCAGGCTCGGAGAAACACTGCTCTGGACAAAACGAGAGGTGCAAATGCCCCCCTCCCCCAGCCTCTATCCCATCCTCTGCTTTATTTTTCTCCTTGTCACAGATTATTGTTTATCATTTGTCTCCTCCTCTAACACGGAGGTTCAGTGAGGGCAGGCACCCCAGTGCCTCATTCACAGCAGTGTGGCAGGGCCCAGGACAGCACCAGTTACAGATTTGGTGCTCAATAAAGATTTGAATGAATGAATGAATGAATGAATCCATGAGTAAATGTCTGTCTCTATCAGGAAAACCAGTTTACAGGCTTTGACATCAGGTTCAAATCTCAGCTTAGCCACTTTTGGGCTACGTGACTTGAACCAAATCATGTAACTTCTCCAAGCCTAAAAGAGGATGATGCTGACCTTACAGGGTCTTTATGAGGATTAAGTCACATGGGAAAAATTCCAGCACGGTGAATGCACAGTGGGAGTTCATGCACCCCACTGGCCTGCCTGACCCCTGCCTCCCCCTTGTGGCTCTTCCTTCCTTCCTTCCTTCCTTCCTTCCTTCCTTCCTTCCTTCTTTCCCTCTTTCCTTCCTTTCCTTCCTTCCTTCCCTTCCTCCCTCCCTCCTTCCTCCCTCTCTCCTCCCTCCTCCTCCCTCTCTCCTCCCTCCTCCTCCCTCTCTCCTCCCTCC